GGCCGGGTCACGGGCCTGAACCGGCCCAGCCCACGCCAACCCCTAGTGCGAGCTAATGTGCTAATATAAAGTTGTAAAAGGAGAACCTACTTACTTTTCTTGCTTGTGTTTGATTCTAAAGCAGTTATTGCCTTCTACCAAATCATTTTGTCTTTGCTGAAGCAATTTTGGCTAAGTTTGGCAAACTCGTCAAAACTTAGCCAAGATTAATATTGCCCTGTTTTTAATATAAATTGGTTTTGAACTAAGACCAATCTTGATCTTATTTTGAGTGGTTGATAATAGACCCTTGGTTTGTGTCTGGTAAACTCTTAAAACTGGGTTAGGACTTAACCTATTCTAGTTTTTTATTTATATTTTATTAGCAAAGACATGCCAATCTGATCTAATTTTTCATAAGTCAAAAAGAGGCCGACACATCTATGTCGTATCACCACCCCTTGGTTCAATGTTGAATTGGGTTATAAACGAACTAGGCCAGGATTTATCCTGACATAGTTTTTGGGTGACTGTCAAACACGCTTGGTTTGCTCATGAACATAATAACTCTTATATATCTTGTCAAAAATAGTGTAGGCATTAAAATTACCTATAGGTTCCCACGTACAGCTCAAAACGAAGAGAAGGTGATCAGGGCCGTACCTAGGAATTTTGGGGCCCAAGGCGAAATATTGGATGAGGCCTAAGTGATACAACTCATAATACATTTTATCTCATTCTTCTTACCTTTTGAGCGGCAAAATTACATATTATTTTCAATATCTTGTAACATGGTCGATCTTAAATAAGATTTTAGTAATTTTAATTTTGAAAAACTTCTTTCAGCGGAAGCAACTGTTACGAGTATAGTCAATAGTACACGATAAGCAATACAAGTATTTAGAAAATAATCTAACCACTTTATATAGTTCAACACTTCAATTGGACTATTAATCTCTATTTTTAAAATTTCCCCAAAATACAAAAAGATTCTTCAGCGTTAAATGTTGTTTCATTACCAATATTTCATCAAATTGTTTTTTTCTATGAATTTTACGTTTTTCACAAAATATAGGTTGTACGTCATTTAATTAGCAAGTTCTTTAGTTGAATTCAAAGCAGATATAAAAGCATTTTGTCTATAATTTTCTAAATATACAATAAGACCTTTTAATTGATCTATGACAATATCAATATGCATATCTTTAGATTGTAAGATTTTACTAACTGAATTAACAGCAAACAATATGTCATACCAAATATTCATAGCTATTAAGAATTCAAAATTTTCAATCTCATAAGTTGCTAAGCTATTAACTTTACTTTTTATCTTTGGATCTTCACTTTTTAAATAAGGTTAGCTTTATGCTTAAATAACTAAGTTACATATATTTTATATATGGGTGGGTGGGCCTTATCCAACTTGGGGCCCAAGGCAAAGGCCTTAGTTGCCTTATGCTAGGGCCGGCCTTGAAGGTGATGAACATCATTATCTGAGTCAAACGGGATTATCCGTGCCGTAAAAGAGCTAACGAGTGCATGAAGCAAGTCAATAAAGTGTACGAGTCAACGAAATGATGAAATACACAAAACGGTGGAACAAAACCAAACCAAAAAGTCCGGAGAAGCTCTTGGCAGCCGAGTCGCATCAAATTTACTAGGCCAAGGCCAGGTGGCTAAGTACAGTGGTGAGCCAACCCAAGATGGCTAGGCTAAGGCCAGGTGGCTAGACACAATGCCAAGCCACCCTAAGGTGGCTAGGCTAAGGCCAGGTGGCTAGGCCAAGGCCAAGTTGCTAGGCACAATGCCGAGCCACCTCAAGGTGGCTAAGCCAAGGTCGAGCCACCCTAAGGTGGCTAGGCATAGTGCCGAGCCACCAAAGGGTGGCTCGCGCCGCGCCTAGAAATATTAAAAATACGTATTTCGATGTTTTCTCAGAATTTGTTCGTTCCAAAGTGGCGCGCGCCTAGAAATATTAAAAATACGTATTTCGATGTTTTCTCAGAATTTGTTCGTTCCAAAGCCTCCTAATCACTTGGATATCATGCTTAAACGTGGTTAGGTAACTGAAGATGAGGCCAAATTACTTGTTCTTATCCAAGAACACCGTAATTGAAGCCTATAAATACAAGTCTAGGGTCCTATACGCATGAGATCTGAAATTTAGGCGAGGTGTTGTCCCTGTGAAGAGTGAACCACAAATTTCAGAGGAGGGCTAGCAGATATTGGCGAACTTCAGCATAAAGAGTGAGCTATTCGAAGGACCTGAGGCATGTTTCATCATTCCTTACTTTGTTTTGATTTCGAGAAGAGTCGTAATCTCACTTTGTTGAGATTATCACTTCAGTGATTGTTTCCTTTGTGAAGCAAGAGCATTAAATTTTTGTACTGTCAATCAGATCTGATCTGCGACGGTCCACGGACTATCACGTCCCCGGCACAGGAAAAGATCTCATGCAAGCACCGAGTGATAAATGTCCTTTGCGTGTGTTTGAAAAGAGTTATAATTCTTATTTTATTTGTGTAAGCGAGTAGTCTTATAAAAAGATTAACTCTTTTGAATTCATTATAATTAACAAACGTGTAAGAGATTCGACGAATAAACCAACTTTTGACGTAAATATGTTGGCGACCACAGTGGGAGCCAACAGCCTCTCTACAGAGGCTGTCATGTCACAACCAAGGATATTGATCCATGTTGATACAGAGGTCGAGTACGAGTTCAACCAGCAGAAGTTTGAGGAATACCTCTCATCCTTCTCTTCAAGATCTTCCACGCCCCGCAGGTGCAAGAAGATCTTCGACTAGAGGATCGACAAGTACCGTCATTCTTGTTGACATAATGAGATGTCAACTCGACGGGTCAGCTATGCCGGGATCCTTGGCTATATTGACTGTCAATCTAACTTAAGCGGTGCATGTAGAGGGACATCTGTCCATTGTTAGCAAAGGGCGTACTTAGGTGACTGAAAACACCATAACACATTATATATCATAATACGGAAATATAATCCCTATATCAAATAAACTTCCAAGTTTCCATTCTTTTCCAAATTGTCATCCGCATATACCTTACCAAGTGCCTCAGTAGGCAATATCAATACAAAAAATAGAGAAATGTAGCCGTTGCTCTTTGATCACGTGATTTTAGAGAAAGAGACAGCGAGTTAAAAGAGATCGGGTTCCTGTATCCATCATGATTCCCAAATTACCCCCGAATTCAAACAACCGCGGCGGGTTCTTTCTCCACGCTCAATTTCAAATCCCTCTCAAATCCAGCCGTCCAATTCTCGATCCCCTCTCTCTTTCTCCACTAGGATTTTAAAATCGACAAATCCTTCGTCCTTAGCTCAGAGAGTGTGAGCGATCGAGAGAGAGAGAGAGATTCAAATTTTAAAAAGATCTAGGGTTTCTCCATGAATCGTCTCTAGTTAAAACCCCTAATTTTTACCACGAATCCATTAAAGATCAAAGGATCTCAGTATTCTTCGGTTTTACGTCCTGTTCTTGAATTCCTCAGCCAGGTATTTCCTTCGATCCTCCTCTATCTCATTAATTTCATTACGATTCTTTTCAAATTTCTCCTTTTTTCTCAAATTTGTTGCAGAATGTTGAGGGATGTGAAATTTAGCCGCCGGCACTCCGGCAAGATCCCTCAATCCGAGGAATCGAATGAGAATCTTCCCTTTGATTCGTCTTCTACACCTCACATTGACTCGGATCCCAATAGGCCGCCTTTTAACGCGATTCAAGAGGTAGTACGAAACCCTAAGCTTGGAGGGGATCAAGAAACGAGCTTGAGGAGAAAGATCGAGAGGACTCCCTCCAAGAATCAGAGTAGAGGTGTTTCGGATGCTCAATTTCGCACGCCAGAGAAACAGGCAGCAACCAAGATCCGGTTCGGGTTTGTCCCGAAGAGTGAACCCGGATCCAGTTGCGGGGATAATGAAGTTCCTGCCAATCTACCGCCATTGAGCCGGGGTTTGAGTTTGGGAAGTGGGGGTGGTTATAACTATGGGACTCCTCGGACCTATCGAACTGCTGGGAAAGCGTCATCAGTTCATTCTGATTGTAGTTCAGTTCAAAGTACACCAACAAAGAGTGTTTCAAAGCCAACACACTCAGGGTTTGGTAGCTCGCGGCCTCCTATGAGTGCTGGGAGGACTATGAACTGTGCAGTGGCTTCAAAAGGGATTCCAATGTCGGCTCCAGCTCCTTTGGTTTATGTTGCTGCTGAAGTGCCACATTTTGAACTTAGAGAGGACCCATCCTTCTGGATGGATCACAATGTACAGGTAATAATGCGAGAAATTAGCAATTATATGAAATTTGATAGTTGCGATTTAAACATGGGCCTGAATATGTGTATAAATTATGTTACTTGCGGCATATGAATGAGTTTTACTATATTGTGTTTTACTAGCAAAAGAATTGGGAGCAGTTTGAGGTTGACTGATATGAGATGTTTATGAGAAGATTTTAGAACTGAAGTAAGAAGCTTCCAACTAGGAAGAATTTGAGAGAGAAGTAACTTGGTACGTGAGTGAAGTTTAAGTTTTGTATATCACAAAGTCAGCCTACTTCTTCAATCTAATGAATGTGTCAAAAATTTGAAAAACTTAATGAACCTCCAGCACAGCTTAATCTTTCTTTCCGAAGGCTAATTAGAAGCAATTCCATTAGAGGATCTAGTCATTTCAGACTATTCAGGAATAAATATCATGGCATCACGTGATTTCTTTACTATTTTAGTGAAAGATCATGGGCATTCATACACGTTACGGAGCACGCATTAGATATGTGAAAATACATTTTTTTTTATTATTTTTATTTTTATTTTTTTAACTTTCTTTAATGTGTATCATCTAAGAACAATGTACAGTACAGTTATGAATGATGTAGATTTCCCTTGAAAATGTGTCCCTACCATGTATTTGCCTTCAGTTGAAAATTTCATCCCAAAGAAAATCAAAATACTCAATTTGTTGAAACTTGAAAGAGGGCATCTTATAAAAAAGTTTTACTCTTAAGGCCTAAGCTAGTGATGAAAATGAGGATCTATAAACGAGACACCTGTCTGATAGCTCCATTTGAATAAACTATAAAGGCCATTTAGTGAAAAGGTTATTCCATATTGTAAAACTGAGGTGGATTAAGATGCTTTGTGTCAAACATTCACTGTCGTACCTAGTTAAATGTGTTGGGTTTTTTATAAGGCTTTACGTTAAATGCACGATGTGCCTAGGTGTCTTTTGTTGCCTATAGACGCTTGTATTTTTAAGAACACAAGAAACCCTACTTTTCTTACAAGTATTTGAAAGAAAATAAGGAACATCTATAAAGGAAGATAAAGAAAGGACCGAGAAACGCAAACTGTTAAAACATTCTTCCTTAGTTGCTTCCAACATCCTTGATTTCATGATATTTTTGTAAGGAATCTCTAGTTGGACTAGGATTCTGATCTGGCTTGCTGTCTATTTATTCAATCAGCAGAGTCTTGCATGAAACCAAAGAGCTCTATGAGAGTAAATACAATATAGAGTACGAACCTCAGTTTTCTTCCGTTTTTGTTGGGTAAAAATTTGAATTGTAGTCCCTATAAGATGCTCACTTGAATTTTTTTGTTATATCTTTAGGTTGTAATTCGTGTTCGCCCTATTAATAGTTCAGAACAAAGCTTGCAAGGTTATAGCAGATGTCTGAAGCAGGAAAATGCTCATAGCATTACATGGATTGGACAGCCAGAATCACGATTTACATTTGATTATGTGGCGTGCGAGACTATCAGTCAGGTCAGCATTTACATTTAGTAAAATATAAACAAGCTAAGCCATTTTAACTCAACTGGTTATAATATTAAATTGTTATTCAGGAGATGCTTTTTAGAGTGGCCGGCCTACCAATGGTTGAGAATTGCATGTCTGGATACAACAGTTGCATGTTTGCATATGGACAGGTATCTGTTTTACTTTTTATTGTTTGATATATTATTTCCAGCCAATGAAAATTCAATGCCCAGTAGGCATGCACTAAGGGGCTGTTTGGTTGTATGTTTTTACCATGTAAAAGGATGGAAAGTGCAAAAAAGTGGGTCCCAATATCAGCTTTCATCACTTTACATTGTTTGTTTAAATTCTCTTTTACATGAAAAGCTTACACCTTTTGATGAGGTGTCACCGAAAGCAAAATCACCAAAATTAGGAGTGATTTTGTTGGAAAGCTGACACAATGTCATAAATGTGTCCAAAAAAATAATAAAAAAGTCAAAACCTTGTAGAAAGTGGTGAGGTGGTAAATGTGTCCAAAAAAATAATAAAAAAGTCAAAACCTTGTAGAAAGTGGTGAGGTGGATAACCACTTTTTATTTTGTGTCATAAATGCTCTAGTTTATATTATACTATCCAAAGATTCCAAACAATGTAATACTATTATTTTAGGATTCACAAAGATTCCTAACCAAATTAATGTAAACACCCGAATGGAAAGTGGTGGGGTGGATAACCACTTTCTATTTTGTGTCATAAATACTCTAGTTTCGGCATCCAAACAGCCCCTAATGTACACTCTCAATGGTTTCATATTTGAAAATATCTTAGTGTTTGCTAAATTTTCTGCTTCCTGAATCATATGATAACTACTTTTCTTTCTGTCACATATTTGTATTTGCTACTGTAGACAGGAAGTGGGAAGACGTACACAATGCTTGGGGAGATTGGTGAAGTAGACCTCAGGCCCAGTGCAGATCGTGGAATGACACCACGCATATTTGAGTTCCTGTTTGCACGAATTAAAGCGGTAAAATACTAAAATGTCAGAGCAAAATAAAAATAATATTGTACTATATAACACTGGTTCTTTGCCATCATATTATTGTAGTGTTGCTTTTGATTACCGAAAGAGGGAAGAGCCCAGCATATTGTTATATTGTTGTTTTTTAATTACAGGAAGAGGAAAGTCGGAGGGATGAGAAACTTAAATACCACTGCAAGTGTTCCTTTTTAGAGATTTACAACGAGCATATAACAGATCTCCTTCATCCTTCATCCACCAACTTGCCTGTGGGTTTTGAATTATCTTGACTCTTAACTGTTTGAGTTTTTATTTCTCTTAATAGGCTCACCTTATTCCTTTCACCTTTTATTTTCCATGTGATCTGTGTATTATGAATAGCTTTGAAAATGACTTACTGTATGCAGCTACGGGAAGATATACGAAAAGGTGTTTATGTCGAAAATCTTACAGAATTTGAAGTTGAAACCGTTAACGATATTCTAAGGCTTCTTTTTCAGGTAGGGACTATCATTATACCTTTTTCTTTTACTGGCAAGTAGCTTTTCAATAAAATATTTGTTAAGTTATTAAAAAACTATCCATTTCCATAGCATCTTTATTGTTGCAAATAATTCTTGTTAGGGTGCTGCAAATAGGAAGGTTGCAGCGACAAACATGAATCGTGAGAGCAGCCGTTCACATAGTGTGTTCACTTGTGTGATTGAAAGTAGATGGGAAAAGGATTCAACTACTAATCTACGGTTTGCAAGGCTAAACCTTGTAGATCTTGCTGGCTCAGAAAGGTTAGGCATGATATCTGATTAGTGGATTCATTGTTCTCTTGTGAATAATAACATGAGGCTGTATACTTCAACATGCATTCATTTAAAACAGGCAGAAAACTTCTGGTGTTGAAGGGGAGCGCTTGAAGGAAGCTGTGAGCATTAACAAGTCCTTATCAGCTCTTGGGTATGTGATGCTGTCTATATACTTAATATTTTTGCTAGAGAAAAGTAAAGTGCATTGTAAGCATCCTTTTTTCCTTTGACATTGTTGATAAAAAAATTCATCAGATGATGATTGGTTACATCTTTTCATTTGCAGTCATGTAATAACGGTTCTTGCTGATGTGGCACATGGGAAGCAAAGACATGTGCCTTACCGAGACTCTAGGCTGACATTTCTTCTTCAAGTCAGGATCTAGTTTGATTTATTTGATTTTTTATTGGTCATTTTTATCAGCTCAAATTATTCATAATCTAAGCTTCACAGGACTCTCTTGGGGGAAATTCGAAAACTATGATCATAGCAAATGTTAGTCCTTCAATTTGGTAAGTGATGTATCGCTTCCTTCTGTACATTGTTTTCTTCTTGAAGCAAGGTATTGTATCAGTGAAGAAGGGTTATTCAAATTCTTAATGGAGCCCCTTACCATTCCATGCAGCTCTGCAAATGAAACATTAGGTACTCTGAAATTTGCTCAGCGTGCAAGGCTTGTTCAAAACAATGTAAGTGCTGTAATATCTACCAAATACTCGGGTTACGCTACAACTAAATTTCAGACTGATCATTTCATTGATTATAACTCCCATGTTTATTTAAAACAAAAAGGCTGTTATCAATGAAGATGCTTCGGGAGATATAAGTGCTTTGCAACATCAAATTCGCCTGTTAAAGGTTTGACTTATTATTATCTGGTTTCTAATTTCCTTGTAATGGAAAATAAAAGTAGAATGTTTAATCCGTTTCAGGAGGAGCTCTCCTTACTTAAGCGTCAAAATGTCTCGAGGTCATTGTTGTTTCGCTCCGAAATTATGGGAGACAATAAGGATGGGGACCTAGATGCTTCTGTTGAGGAATATTTGCATGTACAAGCACAACTGAGTGCTGAGGAGCCGAATAGTATTGAATCTGGTGGAAGTGTTAGTGTTTCTATTAAGCAGGTAATAAACAGCAGCCAGTTGCTATCAGGATAAATTCAGCTATCTATTGAAGTGTATCTCCAAGTCTTGACAATCAGTCACCTGTTCATGTCTTGGCAATCATCTCTGCTTTTAAGATTTTTCAGTGAGAGAAAGCCCAGAAATATGCTCTTGCAGTCTTGTTATCATTAGTTCCACTGTAACTTGAATATTGGAGTCCAATCTTGTCATAACGGTTCCATCACAAGAGATTTCTATTTGAAGATGATAGTGTTCATTGAATAGAAAAACAAACGTGGATCCATATCATTCTATTGAACAGCCAGTTTTCCCAGTTTGTTACTGAGTGAACTAGGTTCTGAAAACTTTCTTGACATCTGCAGTTGAAATCATTGGAAGCAACATTAGCTGGTGCATTGCGAAGAGAAAAAATGGCAGAGACTACTATTAAGCAACTAGAGACTGAAATTGAACAGCTAAATCGCTTGGTAACATTTAGTAACTGAAACCAAGTGCAGTTTTTTGACATGGATCTCTAAAGGATATTTTTACTTATAACTGATTATTCCTGGTTCCATTTGACAGGTTTGCCAAAGAGAAGAAGATACGCGCTGCTCCAAAATGATGCTTAAATTCCGGGAAGACAAAATTCATAGAATGGAGGCCCTTTTGGATAGACATTTACCAGCAGATTCATACTTGCAGGAGGAGAATAAAGCACAATCAGAAGAAATACAGTTGCTTCGAGCAAGAGCTGATAAGAACCCAGAAGTGACTCGTTTTGCTTCGGAAAATATTAGACTCTTAGATCAACTTAGAAGGTTTATATTACCGGAACTAAAGGTTTAGATTTTTGCCTTTCAAATCACTGAACCTACATTCTTACAGGTACCAGGAATTCTATGAAGAAGGAGAAAGAGAACTACTGCTGGCCGAAGTATCTGAGATGCGCAACCAGGTCTCTGCAACTTTCTTTTATTACGTCTTTTGTGGTCTGGTCTGATAGACTAACGTATGTACATTTTGTTTTTGCAGATTGTTCTTATCCTTGATGGGAAGTCTGAACATGTTCACCAATACGAGCCAGATTTAGAGCTGAAGGTTGTCTTTGTTGCTGCTTATGCCCTTCTTTTCCATCTCTCTGTTATGCATGCTGATAATTCTTATTGTAGGAGGATACACACCCTCAGATTTCTGGTTCTATGCGAGATTCTCAAGATTGTGAATCATTATCTATAGAGGTAGATGCTAATCTTTTTCTTGTCAATAAAAATGAGATAAAGGTTGATTTATAAATTTGCACCTTAACAAGTTCAAATCCATACTTTTGTTTCTTTTTCTCGTGCATATTAAGCTAAAGGAGACCTCCCAGGAGTTGGAGCAATGCAGAGATAAACTTAACTCTTGCTTAGAAACCAATGCAACGCTCACTAGGTAATTCTTGCTACTTTCCAGGGAATCCGAATTTATTTTGGAAGCCTCCTCCAATCTCTGTATTGTAGTTTACTTATCTTTTTTTTTCCCTTACCTGCAGGGAGTTGAACAATCTGCACGTTGAATTAACCAACATGAAATCTGCATGTAATGATGAGCATTTCAATGTGGAAACTGATAATATGGTATGCATGAATAAAATCAAACTTGGTTACTGATATTGTCGTTCATCCTTGTTTCATTTTTTTATTTTTTTTGTGTAATCTTGAAAGAACAATATCTTCAGTTACTATGTCAAATATTTTTCAGTTTCATGAATTACTAGTTGAATTGAATGTGAATTAATTTGTGCAACAGCAACCCGGAAATGTTCATTGCTTGTTTGTGATTTTTTTTCAGGATTTGTCTCTGCTGTCTCTGGATTCAGTTCATTCACCTCCCGTCCCCTCATACTCGTTGAATCATGCTGAAGAAATTTTAAATTTACAACTGGAGCTTGATATACTGAAGACCATTCTTGGAGAAGAGAAATCAACTCGTGTTGAGATGGAGAAAAGAGCTCTGGAACTGGAGAATGAGCTCAAAGAAGCAAAACAAAGTATCTTGCTACATGAACGTAAAGAAATAGAATTAAATGATGCAAAATCTGTCATTGAAGCACTTGAATCCCAGCACATCTTATCAATAAATGAGCTCGAGGAACTAAAGGAGAGCAATAATCAGTTTCTCGATCTTGTAAAGAAGCAGGAGAATGAGATTGCCACATTGAAAAAACAAATTGGTGATATTTATGGGGAAGAGAAGCTATCTTCTGCTTGTAGAAAGCTAAAGAGTCAAGCTTCACACACTGAAAATGAGGGCTCTCCTTTGTGTGAGAAGCTTAAAAAGATGCAAGCTTCCCTAGAAAAAGCAAGGAGTTTTAACACAAGGTTTCAAAGTGATCAGGCATCTCAAACATCTCTTGAACAAGAAAAGGTTGAAGTCCGCAGACAAGTTGAAGTGGAGACAGCTGAAGTGATCGTATGCTTGCAAGAGGAACTCATAACTCTCCAACAACAGGTTGATGACAGCAATAAAAATGAGATTCTTGCTAGACAGAGCTTGATGACGTTTGAAACTGAGTTCAAAAGTCTACAAGAGAAGTTTTCTGTTGTGACTCAGGAAAATGAAAAGCTTGGGGAAATGCTTGAAGAGAAAAAACAGAACCTGAGGTTGCTGTCAGAAAATTGGGAAAATTTGATATATGAAATTGCGGAAGTACTTTCTGATGGGAATATTGCTCTTGAAAATGCTTCGGACCAAGTTGCATCAATTTCTGATACCTTTCCTGGCAGTTGGGTAACTGAGCAGGTTGAGAAGATTATTAGGAGTATGTCTGAGAAGGATTTGTTAATTGAAGAACTTCACAAGTGTCTGGAAGATGCACAGAATGTAAAATCTGATATGGAATGGAAGCTGAGGTCCTTGAGAGGAGCGACATTGGCTATAACAGAAGCACAGCAGCAGGAAAGCAGTGATAATGAAAGGGAGATTCTCCACCTAACATCACAGCTATCTCAAAAAACGTCTATCATAACTGAACTGGAGAATAGCATTAGACTTGGTGAAGAACGACTAAGGAAAGCTGTGACATGTGCAACTGTTGCTTTCACTGTAGTGAACCATGTATCTGAGATCAATGCGGCCCATCTTCAAGCTCTGGAGTTTGTAAAATCTGAATACATTGAGTCCACAGAAACCCTAAAGCAGAAGGATGCTCTCCTACAAGAACATATACTTCTTCAACTTGACACAGAAAACCGGATGCAAACTATGAAAGCACAGGTGGAGCAGTTTCAGGAACAGACTCATGAATTGTTAGTACAGCTGCAGCAATCTCAGCGGACAGCAGATGAGCAAGTTTTGGAACACCAACATAACGTTAAAGTTGCAGATATTGCTTTTTCTGGAGATGATCTTCTGGAAGGAAGACAGAAATTTGATGTTGTCAAAATGGGTGTGAGTGTGATGGATTCTTGTGTAAATGACTCTGCTGGAAAGGTCAGCTGCCCAACAGATGATTTTACTGAAGGTGCAGCCAACGGCTCCAAGCACCGGGTAAGCTAATGCTCTTGTTATTTGATAAACAAGATGAGCCATGGACTCCTCTCTGATGTTCACTAGTCAGTAAGTCCTTGCCTTTAATTTGATGTTATTTACATAAACTGGTATCTCTACAAATTGGTTATAATTATCACTTCATTGCATATGCAGATGGGGATTGAATCAAATGAAGATACTGTCAGCGCTGAGCAACATAATGTTGAAAGTATTTCAGGTGCAAGCATAAACCTTAGAGAAATTCAAAAAATAGGGCCCGGGTATGGATGCCTGTCACAAAATATTTTGGATAGAGAAAGAACCATTGTCCTTCTGAGGAGGGAATTAGAATCTGCATTTGATAGCCTAAGAGAAGTGAAGGCTCAGATGGTCAAGCTACTTGACGAGAAAGAAGACGTCAAACAGTCTGAAGTACAGAGCAAGAAAAATGTTGAACATTTGACAGTTGAAGTTCTTCTATTTAAATCAGAGATGATCGATAAAGAACAACAGTTTGAATCTAGACTGCTGGAGTTGGAAGAAAAACTGCAAAGAGTAGAGGAAAGTACAGTTTCATCTAATGTATGCTGGCATGAAATGAAAGAGGTATGATCTTGATGTTGTCACTTGTTTGGTTCCAGGCTCACAAAGAAGTCCTGCAACACCGATATTTTTTCTAGACAATTTATAACCATATATGTTGTTTAGCTTGTATGGAAAACTATATTAGTTCAGTATGGTTGCTTCAAAGAGATAGCACAGCTGAACAAGAGTGCAACATCTAATAAGACACTATGCATGAAGATGTAATATAGGGGTAAATTTCATAAAACTACCATGAACTTCGGGCGGGTGTTTTGGAGAATTTTGCCTTATGTACTTTATACATCTTCGTTATTACCTCTCTGATCTTTGTGGGCACGCGTGCGCACACGTACACATTACACACACCCCTCTTTACCATTTTGTATAAATAGACTATTCTATTTGTATAGATATGGTAGAGGGGCATATCCAACCTTTCTTCTCTCATTAATTCTAGTTCTTCAGTGCGGAGTAGAGCAGTTTGGTAGCTCTCAAGGCTTGTAACCCTGAGATCTTACTCATGTATCACTTCTGGTTCTACATTTGTTTGAATCCATGCGTCTAACCAAGAAATTCTTATTCAGTCTGCTATTCCCTACCCATGCCACTATTAAGTAGTAATATGAAAGTCTAGTACATTTTAGAAAACTTAAAAAGTAATGCATAATTGCACATACTTTCACAATCTTGTATTCAGATGTGAAATATTCTTATTTTTACCTTTTTCTTTTTCTTTTTCTTTTGTTGTAAGTGTATATCTCACTCGTGTATCGCTCACTTGTGTATCGCTCAATGTATAAAATTTTTTAGAAAACTTAAAAAAGTAATGCATACTTGCACATACTTGCATAATCCTGTATACAGATGTGAAATATCCTTATTTTACCTTTATCTTCCTTTTCTTTCATTGTAAGTACATATCTCACTCATGTATCCCTCACTGTATAATTTTTTTTGAGATCATAAAAGGAACAGTTATTTTGTGGCTATCTTATTACATTTGTTTCTTATCTAGTCTGCTATCCCCTCCCCCGCCAACCCCACCCATCTGGAAGGTTTGCCTAAGGTAGTAACTCTCCAACTGTTTTCTTAGGGTCTTGAAGTGGAGCTCAGTAATGCAAAGGCAATTGCAGCTCAAAAAACACTTGAGGCTTCATATCTTCTAATAAAGATTGAGGAGATGCAAGGAACTATGCAAGATGCTGATGTGACGGTCAATGCACTGACTGAAACCAATGAAGCAATAAAACTTGAGGTAGAGAGACATAAGACAATTGAAACCACATTAAACTGTGAGAAGAACCATTTAATAAGTGAGCTGCAGATGTTACAGTCTTCCCTTGATGTGAAGGAGAAAGAAAACGAGTCGATGCAGAAGAAGTTCACAGAGAATGTTACAGAAGCAAGAAACTTGCTTTTGGAACTTGAGGACACCTTCAGGCTTTTACAGGGCACTTTCACAGAGAAGTTCAGGTTGATAGAATGTGATCTGTCCTGGCTCAAGTCTCAGCTGCAGCTTAACACTCAGTTGGTAAGCGTTTGGTTAGAAGAAATTTGGTCAGAGATCATTGGAAAAGATTGTGCCGTGTCTGTATTACACCTCTGTCACATGGGAATTCTATTGGAGAGAGTAACTGGGCTCAATGCAGAGAATGTTTTCCTCTACAATGGCTGGTGTGATTCAAAATCGGTTATCGCTGATCTTAAGAACCACAATTCTAAAGCAAAAAGGGAACTCGAACAATGTAGCACTCTTAAAGGAAAGCTTTTGGTTGACATTAATGACAGTTTCAACCGCATCACAAAGAAAGAAAACGAAACCGTGGAGTTTAAAGCAAGGTTAAACTCTTTCGAAGAAAAAATCGTGCACTTGCAATTGCAAGAAGAAACCATGTTGGATAGGTCAAATTCAATGGGCACAGAACTTGCTATTCTGATGGAGTTGGATTCAAGTAGAAATGCCTCAATGGCAATTTCTGCACAGGAGAAATTTCTTAGGGAAAAAGAAGAGCTTAATTACCAACTGGTAATTGAGAAAATAAAGGAGGAAATTGTTCTAAATAAAATAGAAATGGAGCTGAGAAATGTTGAGATGGAGTACTTGCTTGATGAGAACGAAACTCTAAAGAATGAATTGCTGAAACTAAGGGAAGAAAATTCTAGAGCAAATGGAGATCTGCAGGATGAAAAAGTAAGATTTGTCTCTACTGTTGAACATTTAAGCATTGTCAATGAGGAAAATCTCAAGTTACAGGACACGGCATGCTCCTTACAAGCTTGCATCAACAGATTACAGGCTGAAATGGATATGAAATGTACAGAACTAGCACTCGTTTTGAAGGAATCTGAACTAAAAAATGAGGACAATGAATTACATATCAAAACAACACATGCTTTGCAGATGGAGAATGACTACTTGAAAAATGAGCTACTGGAATTTAACAGAAAGAAAGATGATCATGATGCAATGCTTATGTCCGAGTTTAGAAATTGTTATGATTTAACTCAATCAGTGGATATGACACTCGACAGAATGTTCCATATCACAGACAACCAGATGTCTTTTCTGAATGATAGAATATGCCCAGAAATTTCTAAGTACAAAGACATGGCATCTAAGATTATCGATGAGTTAGAATTCGTGGAGTTATCTGTGAAAAAACTCATGCTGCAGAATTTCTCTCTTCAGTCTGAATCGATGCGAAAAGATGATTTATCAAAAGGCTTGTCATTTGATCTGAGATTACTTCAGGAGTCGGCATCCACTGCTAAGGACCAAAGTGATGAACTCGAAGCTGTTTTGAAATCTATAGAAAATGAACTCGTAGCTAAGACATCTGAGCTTGATGAGAAAAATGGAAGAATTGATGTCCTTGAATTAGAGCTTGCTGAAAAAGAAAATGCAGTCCAACTGATCTCTTCTGAAAACCTTGAATTGAAAGCTCACATGGAACGCATGTTAGAAATGAGAAATACCATATTAGAAGAGTTGGCGGAAAAAGGCAATGTTAATGAGAGGTTAAAAGATGAATTGCTTCAAATGAGTAATTTGCTTGGCCAGAGGAATCATCTTCCAGAGGATTTGCAGGATGACATGGCCAAACTTGCAGATGAAAAAGATTGCTTGGATTCTCAGATGCTTATCTTGAAAGAGCAGATGGAAACGGCTCAAGCACTTGCAGAAGAACATGAAGCTATTGCTACTGAATTTCGTCAGGTAGCAAGAAACTGAATAAGTTTTCTATTCATCAATATATGTATATGTTATTCATTTAATTCTTCTGTTCACTTAATTTGTATAGATAGCAGAAGAAAAAAAGTTGTATGCTGCAGATAAAGAGGAGGAGATTAAACTATTGGAGAAGTCTATTGAAGAGCTTGAATGCACTGTAAGCGCATTGGAAAATAAGGTGAATACGCTGAAATTCAATTTTTTGGAAAAGTTTCATTAACACCTCCTCTCAGCCCACCCCCACCTTAATAAATCCCCCTTTTATGAACGCTTGTAATGGGACTTAACCAATCTAAATATGTATATAATCTACAATGGCTTTATACCCTTTACTTCTTCTTTTTCAACTGTTTCATATTCTCCATTTTACATCTCCTACCCTAGAACATTTTCCCATTCAAATTGTGTGATAATTTTTTGTTCTTCTCTGCGTTGTTATTATTCCCAAATTTAATGAGTAGTAAAGTTAAAGGAAAATAACTTTTATCTTTAAAGTTGCATATAAGTTTCAGTTGAAGGATAGTGTGGCATTTGTTCGCATTGTTAGCCTAGAATTAAGATCAATAGATGGACGAGAAAACAATACTTGTTAAGGAGATTAAGAAGTGGGTTATATAGCCATGTTTGCTATATCCACTCCCAAACAGTAATTTTGGGAGTTGGATTGCCGAAAATGCCCTTTTGATGTTGAGGGTGTTTCTGGAATGGACTTGGCCTGTTTTGGTTTGGGAGAAGGGCAATTTAGTCCTCACACACCCCCAAAGTTACTGTTTGGGAGTGTGAATAGTTGGACTCGTTATATAGCTAATGTGGACTTAGGCATGCATTCTAAAAAGGACTAGGATTATTAATTTTGAATTATTAGTTGTTTAAGATAAATCAGCATTAGTAATGGTTTTACTTGAACATCATTTGTAATGTAACAACAAAGAAGGGCATTAATAAAAACATACTTAAAGATGCCTAGTATCTCCTCATAACTAGGGAACAAAACAATATGGAAATAAAGATTATAATGGGGGTTGCTTTTTTTTGGGAAATTGGAGAAGACGATGTAATTTATAAGTTAAAAAAAGAGCACAGTGAAAATTTCCCTTTTCTTTAACGTTCTTTCACTTATTAGCTTTCATGACCACTAACAGTTTTCATTAATTCTAAAAGGTGGAATTTGTCAGAGGAGAAGCTGAAAAACAACGACTGCATAGAGAAGAGCTAGAGATGGAACTCGAGGCTGTGAGACACCAGATGCTTACGTTACCTTCCTATGGCAGCAATATCAGACAAAATACAGATGGCAGGAATCACGACCTCACACGGTTTGTTCAGGTCTTATATATCAAATTTCTTCAGCCGAAGAGTTTGTTTACTAAATGCTGGCTTCTATGTTCCAATCCAGGCACCTAAAGGCAAAAGTTACTGAGCTGCAAGAGGCTCAACAGAATATACAGGTTCTTCGAAAGGAAGTTGCAGATAAGGATTCAGAGGTTTGCATATCAGATTATAGATTTGCAGTGCTTATTTTTTAAGTATTATTTGGTGTATTCAATTAGGAGAATGATTTTTATTTATAAGATATTCATCACCTCTTTCCCTCTTCGCTTGATTGTCATAAGCTCCTACCTATCTTTCTTACCTCCTAAGGTTTATTTATGAGATAGCGCCATCAGATCATTCTAGTCACATGTTTACATGCCTGCTCAAATATGACTTGAAATTAGAGTTACAGGGATTTCCAGCTGTGGCTTGATAGCCTAGTTTTACAGTTTTTCCAAATGGAAAAGTGTGGTACTGATTTGAAAGTGGAGTCAGTAGTTTTTCTATATAAACTATCAATCAAATAGTTATATTGTAACTCAGTGCATTTGAATGGTTTTGTCAATTTAGATGTCCTCCACTCTTATAAGTCTTGCTACGGAGTTAGCACTATGTCTTTTGTTTCTCCTTCTAGATTTGTTTTAACTAGATTGTTTTCTTTAATTTGACTATCATCTGTTTATCGCTTCAATTTTTATCTTTTCTATCGTCAAGATCTCTGCAAGTCATTGTTCCAGTATGCTAGAAGGTATGGTACCTAAAAGGCTAAAACTTTTGAGTAACACCCAAAATGGTACCAGAGTACCATGAGTAAAGAGAAAGTTCTTAGGTTCAAAGCCCGTTGTAGACATCATTTGTATTCTCCCTTCACGTGTAAACCCTGCGTACTGCCTTTTACATGAGAGGGAGTTTTAGGTTGTTCTGCACAGATAATATGTATGTTGGTCACTATCTAATGTAATATTTTAATAATGGCAACAAGTGCTGCATACTATTTCTTTGTGCTTGGAAAATTGACTTAGTAACCCTGCAGTTGCCAAAAATTTGCAAAATCAAATTTTCTTTGTATAGTCACCATCTGTTGAAATCTTTTCTGGTATTGGTTGTTCCACAGTCAAATGTGATTATTGTCTTGATTCTTACAACTATTTCATTTCCTGAAGATTGCTCAGTGTAAAGCACACATATCGGAACTTAACATGTATGCAGAGGCACAAGCAAGAGAATACAAACAAAAGGTATAGCTCTGCTTGCTACTTTTATGAGATATTCAGCAGATTATTCTAGTAAGAAGTAGTTTTCTGTGTTCAAATAGTTTATTACTATTAAAGATTTAACTATACCTGCAAACTTTTCTAGTTTAGAGAACTAGAAGCTATGGCGCAGCAAGTCAAAGCAGAAGCAATACCCGCTAACTCTACAAGCCTGGTATCAACGAGGTCAGAAAAAAGTGCAGCAAAATCTAGGGGTTCTGGTTCCCCTTTCAAATGTATTGGCTTGGGACTCTCACACCAAATTAGTTCTGAGAAGAATGAAGAACTGGCTGCAGCTAGGCGACAAATACAAGAGCTCGAAACCTTAGCTGCAAGTCGGCAGAAAGAGGCAAGGCTTTCATCTCTGCTCATTTTATGAGGATGATTTACATCAAAACAGTAATAGTAACTTATTGCTGCTCATATTTATACCCAGATATTCATGTTGAATACCCGCCTGGCAGCAGCAGAGAGCATGACTCATGATGTAATCCGTGACCTACTGGGGCTTAAGCTGGATATGACGAATTGTGCAGTAAGATCAACATCCATAAATCTTTCAGCTTGTTGTTTTCATTTCTGGAAGTTAAAATATATAGAAGCAAGGAGTTTAGCAAAATAAATTTAGGAGTTTTCTTGAACAATATTTAGAAGCTTTACAAATTAATCTCCATGAAAACTGTTAGTTCCTATCCCTTGGATGTCAGCTTAAACTGCAAAAGGAAAAAAAAAGGTATGCTTCTTTAAAGGCTGACCAAGCTTTCTGCTGTTCTAAGTGTAGTATCCTCTCCTGTTAATATTTTGTTGGCCTGAAAATTTGGCACCTTCTTAAACTCTTGATATTGGGACAGTAGTTGGTTGTTAAATCATTCAGACTTTCAATTGAGGTCATTTTGGTCAGAAATGATTTGTCTCTTTCTTCCCACTTTTTTAGTGTCAGATATCACTTGACACAACTGTGTCATTTGTGTCATATGCTTTTAACTTAATATTGTTTCTGCTTTATGTTTGTTTCATTTTAGGAAGTTCTAGATCAAGATCAATTGCAAATGATCAAGATGAAATCTCAGTTTGGTGATCAAGAAAACCAAGAAAAGGTTGGCTCTGCCGAGGAACTGTTGATGTCCAAGGAAGTTTATTTTGCTGTTCTAACAGGATTTATTTATTCTTCTCTCAGGACCAACTAGTCCTCAAGCTGAAGAAACATCTCAACAAGTTCATTGAAGAGAGGGAAAGGTAAAAGTCGCCACTTAAAAGCCATAAAAAGTTTATCAGCTGCTATGCTTGTGATTCCATTTCACAGAATACTAAGTCAGCTTTCACTAATACTAAGTCAGTTTCACTTTGATCTTGTAGTTGGCTTGATGAAATAAACCAAAGACACACAGAAACTATATCTCTACGAATTGCATTGGAAAAGCTTCAGCAAAGAGAACAATTTCTTATCACTGAAAATGAGATGCTAAGGGTATGAAAGATCCTCATCATTTTTTGGTTATTTCACAGCCAATCTTTTTTTGGCTGCGTTTTCCCCCTTTTTCTTTCCTTTGCTTTTCATTATTTCTAGTCCAAAGTTTTGCCTTCAATTTATTTCATTGTCATGGACCATGTTGTAGGTGGATAATACAAAATACAAGAAGACAATATTGGAACTTGAACTTGAAGTGAGAAAGCTCTCTGACCAGCAGAATTTTCATCAGCGTATTCATCACCATGTTAAGATAAAGGTACGACATGATAGTTTGCCAAACATATATGAATAATTGTTATATGGTTTGCCATCATCTATAAAATATTTTATAGAAGCCATTTCCATCTTCAGACTTCTTAGAGGGCCATTAAACACATTGAGTCATCCAGATGTAAAAACTCTATCTAACATTTCCGTTTAGTTGTCTGAAGTATCCAGAGTACTAGAATTACCATGAAAAGCACTCAATACAAGTGACCTGAGTATACTTCTGAAGAATATTTTAATTCTTTTTACTATTACACCTTTCTTATTCATTCCTTTTGAAAACAATTACGAGAGCAACAAAATAATTATAAGCTACTAGTATTTTAATGGTATCTTCTAATACTTGAGGTAAGCAAGAGGCCCTTACTAGAAAAGAAGGATTAAGAATTTAAATTTCCACATTTGCTAGTCTGTAGTCCAAACATGCATTAAACTTGAGAGCAAAGCTTTATTTCTGTTATAAGCATTTTACTGGATTTGATAGCCTATTCTCATTAGTGTTCTATAACGATCTACCTGCCAGGAAGAAAACAAATTATTGAGGATTCTAAAGGATGATCTACACGCAAAGTTAGAAAAATCAGAGTCAGCCCTTTCACGTGTGAGAGAAGAACTTGCACAATATCGAGCAGCTTGTGGAAAGAAACCGTTTGTTGACATTGATGAAGAAGAACATCTGAAGACAAAATTAGACGTATGTACTTTATTTTGAGTGGAGTATATACATCCTCTTAGCACAAGGTATTCACAGTTTCTATAGATAGTGTGATCTTGACCATTTCCCTATTCAACAGGATAGCGAAGAGGAGAGAATCCAACTTGCGCAAAAGCTATTGACCTTGTGTACAAGCATCCTAAAGGTGGATAAGATAGCTTGTTATACATTTGGGTTCCATATTGACTTATAAAGAAAAACTTCACTCTATATTCTATAGCTTGTTATACATTTGGGTTCAGTATTGACTTATAAAGGAAGACTTTACTCTATTCTGCTCTTCTAAGTGAATGTCATTGCAGATAGCTGGATTGTCGAGGCCTTCGTCTGCTGTAAATCTCTCAGTAGCAGAAGATGCACTCCGCCAGCTTAAGGAACGTAGTAGTTCGCTTGAAAGTGAAGTACAAGATCTGAAATTAAAGGTAGTCTTTCTAGTTTCTATTTTTCAATTCATTACCTACATCAGTATGCATTCATTTATTGGTGTGTTAGTTACTGCATATTTATCTCAGCACACACCCTGCATGATGATGAAACTTCTTTTACTTGTGTTGCAGTGTAAATTTTTCCGTGAAAAGTTGAAGTTGTCTGAGCTCAGGCAACAGGAGAACTCAGTGATACAAGAGAACAGTTCTTCCCATTCACTGTCACCTTCAAGTTTTCATGTGTATCATAATGATGTAGTTGGAGATAATCACATATTAGCAATTAGCTGAAGGAGGGAAGATCAAATTCCTTGTATAGTATGTACAGGAACTGATCAATTAAATGCTCAGTTGATCAGTTCACTGTCGGGAGGAAATTCCTTCTTTTTTGTATTACAGTCGAAGCAATATAATCCATTCATTTGGTTTCATCTCAGGTTGTAATTGATCAAGCAGTTATCAAATAGTTCGATTGTTATTTGTCTAACTATTTGTTCAAATTCCACTTGAGAGACATTTAAGAGAAATCAAGTAATTTTATTAATTGGATAATAATAAAAAAATAAAATATATTTACATATTCGATTCATCAACTTATCAACATCTATTATAATTTGTGTAATTACAAACATATTTGTCATGTGTTGATCCTCAATAAATTTATTTTAATTTTGTCTCTTGAAATTCCTGATCTATATTAAAGAATAATTTCCAATCATGAATTTACTTGTTACTTAAAAAAATCAAATTCTTTAGCAAAATTAAAGCATTTTATTAACCAAAAAAAATATCTAATTCAATAATTTAATGGTATAAACTATATGTTGCTATTCAAAGATTTTGAAAGGAAAAAAAATCACTTTAGTATTCAAGAATGATATGCCAAGGTAAACATCTTGTGGATGGTATAATATAACTCAGCAGTATTGTTCATGATGGCAAAATACGCTATTTTGTTAATCCATTTGTCGAATTTCACTAGGGTTAACAACTTCGTAAGATCATATGACAACGTTGTACATTGCAAATTCAAAATTTTGTTTACCTACTTCTGGTCCATATAATTTGGTTGCAAGTTGCAACTGTACGCTGTAATAATATGAAGGGTCAAGTTCATAGGTAAAGACACAACCTGATGAGAAGTCTGGAGATGACAGTTATACTACAAAAAGCAAATGATGAACGAAGCAATTGGCTAAGTTTGCTTCAAGAAGCAGTTAGATATTCCACGAATCGTACAACTCAACGCTATTCATTGCAGCTTCCAGAAGGGTCTGCATTCTTGACAATCCATGGATGCTCCAAGATCTTCTGTAGAGATAACCTTTTTGATGAGTCCTTCACCAGAAGCTGCAATCATCAATCCAAGGCATAAGAACTGCACTGAGATTAGGGTTAATTGCAGATAGACCCCTGTATGATTGCCCAATTGTGGATAGGTCCCCTGTAGTTCTACTGATGCAGATAGACCTATTCAGCGACTTTTTTTTTTAATCTTTTACCCTCAGGAGGTCTATCTGTCAAAAAATAATAATTTTCTTTCTCTAAGGGTAAAAGTGTCAAAAAGTTTCTCAGGGGTCTATCTGCAACCAATAGAATTACAGGGGGTTTATCTGCAATTAACACTTGAAATTATCTTTTTACAGGAGAAAAAAAAAATGGGCACTGTTGGAATTACCTTACTGATGAGATCCTTTGCTTCAGCTGATACACGAGGAGTCGAAGGATACTTCAGGTCAACTTTCAGGATCCTGGTTAACGATGTTCACTCGTTATAAGAAAAATCGTGAAGTCATAAAGACTAAAGAGGCAGCTATTATATTTCTTTTTCTCTTCTCTTCTTACCTTCGAAATGTATCATACTGGTCTTCAGCTTCAAATGGTGGACCACCATAAAGGAACTCATAGCAAAGAATGCCTAAAGTCCAGTTATCAACAGCATGGTCATGTTCCCTTTTTTCCACCATTTCTGGTGCAAGGTAGTCTATTGTACCACACATTGTGTGTCTCTTTGCATTTGACTGCACAGCCCATCCAAAGTCTGCGATCTTCAACCTGCCCTGCAAGATAAGGTTTTGATGTGAATTCTTATTATCTTTGAAAAAAATGTGCAGAAAAATAATTGGCAATGTTACATTAAACGTTGTGCGGTTCTAGGCGTCGGACTTGGCGCCCAGCGCTTAGTCGCCTAAGCGAGCGCCTAAGCGGTTTCTGGGCGTTTTTTTTTTATTTTTATTTTTTTAATTGTGATACTTAAAGATAAATATATATATACTCAATCAAAGATGCATAAATACTAAAATACCAACACTATTAACTAAATTGCTTGGTTTACCAATTACAATAGCTCTTTGTATGTTTATACTTCTCAACTCAAATTATAAGTTCATCTCAACAATGAAAAACTCATTCTTAACTCAAATTACTATTAACTTATAAGTTACTGTTAAGTTTAAGTTAAGAATAAACTTAAACTTAAGTTTACTGTTAACTAAAGTATTGTTAACTTAAGTAACTTTACTGTTTACTTAAACTTAAACTTAAGTTTATTGTTAACTTACACTTCTTAAGTTTAAGTTACTGTTATTAACTAACTTAAATATATATTTAAGTGCTTTTTGCCTTGTTAGTATTTATAAAGATCGGGGGAGCTCGACAATGTTACAGAAGGCGCTAGACAGACTAGGCGTTTGAGCGAGCGCCTAGCGACTAGACCCCTGGTCGTACGTCATACGCTTAGGCAACGCCTAGGCGTTTGACTATTTTTAAATTATTTAATTATAATAATTGATAAAAATATGTATTAAATTCATATAAATTTTTAAAAAAAAGATAGCAATCTTAGTTTCACAATAAATCATGCATACTTAGATACTAAATAGCCAAAATAATAATTAACAAGGCTAGAGCCTAAGATGTTTTTTTTTTAATTACAATAATTAATAGTGAATGTCAATGTTATAGAAAGCTTAGATGCCGGACAGGTGTCTAGGCGTATTTATTTCTTCATTTAAGTGGTGGTCGATGAGGTAGTAGAGGTGTTCATATTTGGAGGTTAATGGAGTTTGAAGGACGTGTAAGCTACAACACATAAAATTACAACCAAGGCCTATAGGATGCAATCCATGTAAGCAGACAATGCTCCCCTAAACGCTCGTAAAATCTAGGTGGACAACCTAAATACCGCCTAGGCGCTAGGCGCTAGTTAGGTGGCCTACGTACCGTCTAGGCCTAGGCGTACTACGCCAAAAAGGACTAGGCGAATGTTTTTTAAAACAGTGATAATTGGTACAGTGTCCTTCTCATTCATATAGACAATTTTAAAGTTATATGGACATTAAAATTTTATAAAATTTGATGTTGTAAAATCTGGAGTGTTCTCTATGTCTTGAGTGTTTCTCCACTGCCTCTCCTTCATACTTGATAGACCTAGTAGTTATGAAAGGTGAACATGCTCTCTCAAAAGAAACAAAAGGTGGATATGATTTTCTGATGGATCCATACTCCTAATTTTTTGAAAGATTCTATAAACCATCCAGCTTACATTTCTTCAAGAAGGTACAATAACTTCTTAAGAAATTTCACCAAGTTATGTCATCTTCTTGATTTCTTCTCTCTTTAGCATGCTCCAGCTCTTATAAGGTTCTTCGAGGACAGCCTATGTCTGAGAATTTACGACCACTAGCTCATACAAAAATCTAAGGTCGAAGTTAAGTGCCATCCATATGACACAAGGAATACAAGAATACTAAATTCCAATAAAATAATCTAGAGTTATACACGTCTTTTACATGGAGTTGCTGGAACCATAGCAACAACACTGAAAATATTCAAGATAATTACTCAGACCAAAAGCTGTGATTTTTCTTGTGCAGACATTCCTTAGAAATTGAGTCAACTATTGCCTGCCTACATGGTAGGAAAATGATATAGGCACACCATCTACCACACTTCCTCTCCTGCTACAGTGTAGCGGGCCCCATATAAAATTTTTTTAAAAAATTTATATGGGACTTGCTGCACTGTAGCAGGAGAGGAGGTGTGATTGATGGTGTGGTAGATGGTGTGTCTGTAGTACCCCTCTACATGGTAACCTTTAAGACCAATTTGAACGTTGTTTATCAGATACGTTCTTTTTTTTGCGCAAGAACTTGTTATAGTTTGGCTGAGAAATTTTCATTTAGGTTTTGAGTGTAAGAGAGAAACAGAATATTCCTGATTGATTTAAAAAGACTGTGTTTGCAGTTTGCACTAAATACTCTAGTAGTAGTCTAATAGATGAAACAGAAAATTTTTCGTCTGCCTCTCATAGAAAGCAGAAAAAAGGCATATCCATGAATAGACAAAATTTTTCATCTGTCTCTTGTAGAACGTAGGGTAATGTCCACCGTTTCTACAATTTCTTTCCTACCCCATTGTGTGCTTTATATAGTAGAATAGATGTTGCTAGGATGAGGGCAAACCGAAATAGGTTGTGAGCAAAGATATCAATGTTGCTAAGGAAATGGACATTAAATAAGAGGTGATTCACTGGTAGCTCTTGTCGCTGCCTGAAAGTGATTCGGTATCTTTATCTACATCACTTTTAGGCGGCGAGATCTCGCCACAAGATCTTGCCACAGCCTAAAAGTGATGTAGATAAAGATATTGAAGATAAGAGATGATAAAGGGTCTAAGCTCCATACTCAGCATGTAACTCATAATGGTTAACAACTAAAAATATGTAATTTCATCAGGGGTTTTAGAGTTTGAGATCCTATCCTTTCCCCCACAAAAAATAAAAATAAAAATAAAAATAAAAAAATAAAAAAATAAAAAAATAATCTAAACATAGGTGAGTGTTTGAAAATTCTTCAAAACTAGGTCAGGATCAGTCCTGGCCCAGTTTTGATTCTTTTTGTGTTTGTCTAAAATAGGTCGGACTTAGCCCACTTCTTTTTAAATCAAATTTTGGGTTTAAAACGGGTTCTTTTCAACAACTCCCCCCCCCCAAAAAAAAAAAAAAAAAAAAAAAAAAAAGCCAACAACCCCCCCCCCCCAAAAAAAAAAAAAAAAAAAACAACCAAATATAACCTAGTTTAGGATAAAACCGGATCAGGGTTGATCCTGACCTAGTTTTAAGCATTTTGCCAAACAGGCGCATAAATTACGAAATTATAAATGTTAAGGAGGGGTTATTGGTTGGGATATTTTGGGGGATAATAGGATAATTTTGGGGATTCTATTTCATAGTGTTATTCATTGGGACAATAGAATAAGGATAATACATTTTTGTGTTATTGGTTTTTTGGAACACTAGTGAGACAATTACACCACTTGGGATAAAATTACCCCACTCATATACAAAAATTTATGCCAATAGTAAAAATTTACCCCATCCTCCTTATTGGAATAATGTTGTTCCACTTTGAAGGCAATTAGGATAATTTTAAAATATTTTTGTATTACTTAACTAATACATGCTAATTATATTATAAATATATGACATGATATATAAAATATAACATATATTAATATTTTAATGACATAATTTAATAACATATATTAATAATATTATATAATAGTAATTATAGTATAACGTATTTATTATAATATTATATAATATTGTAATAACATATATTAATAATATTATATAATAACATATATTAATATTTTAATAACATATATATAATATTTAAATAACATATATTAATAATATTATGTAATATATTATTATATAATATTAATTAGTAATTATAGTATAACGTATTTATTATAATATTATATAATATTTTAGTAACATATATTAATATTTTAATAACATATATATAATATATATATTAATAATATTATATAATAGTAATTATAGTATAACATATTTATTATAATATTATATAATATTGTAATAACATATATTAATAATATTATATAATTAATTTAATAAAATATTATTATTAGTTATTATATATATGACATACTATTATAATATAATATAATATAATACTATAGTTTGAAATAATATAATATATCATACTATAACATGATACCTTTTTATATATATTATTGTAATTATCATGTAATATATATATATATATATATATATAATATTATATTATATATATATATATATATTATATATATATATGTTATATTATATTTTAATTTTGAATATAAATTTTTTAAAAATATTACATTGAATAAAGTCAATATTATAATATTTTATAAAGTACATTATATCCTATGATACTATATTATAATATATTATTAAAGTATTATATTATATATATATAATTCATATATTATATCAATTATTATATAATGTAGCATACTAATAGAATGTTAATTAGTAATTATTGTATAACATATTATATTTTTGTATAAATAAAATAATGTATTATATTAAAATATTATATTAAATATATTGATATTATATTATATTAATTATTATATATAGTATAGCATGCTAATATAATATAATATAATATAATAGTAATTTATAAGTATAGTACAATATATTATATTTTAATATAAAGTAAAATAATATTTATATTATAATAATATACTAAATAATATACTAAATCAATTGAATAAGTTAATTTAGAAATAATTAATAGATAAAATTATATTTTAATAAGGTCTCCATCATCAATTATCCCACATGAATTGTCAAATCAAAGGCTCAAATTATCTCATTATCCCACTTTATCCCACTTTACCCCACTCAAAATATCCCAAAGGGGTAAAATTGTTCCATTGGAACAATTTTCCCACTTGGCCCCAATTTGTCCCAAGCAATAACCCCCCCTAAACCTTGCAAACTTGGGATAATTTACCCATATAGTAACATAGTCCTGCTTCTCTATCTCTGAAGAGTTTCGCTGCTGTCTCTCCTTCATTCTTAAGAGACCTAGTTACGAGCATATACGGCTTTCCAAAGACTCCACATTCCTATGTTTTTTAGAAAGATTCTATTCTCCAACTGGCTTAAATTGGTAGACAAACTTCTTAAGAATTTACACCAAGATATCCCATCTTCTAGATTTCTTGCCTCTTTAGAATGATCTCAGAATTCATCACCACTAGCTCAAACAAAAGTTCAAGAGCAAAGTGTCATCTATAAGACATAAGGTATTATAACAATATTCGATTACAGTAAAATAGTCAAGAAAACTAGAGTTGCTGGAATAACAATGGTAGTAACAATATTCAAAATAATTACTCAGACCAAAAGCTGTGATTTTTCCTTGAGCAATTATTCCTAAGAGTTTGAGCCAACTATTGCTTGCCAACATGTTAATCTTCAGGACCATTTTGAACTCTGTTTATCAGAGACGCCACAAGTTAAGAATCAAGCTATTAGGAGTCAGACTTGGCTAAACTTTTTTTGAAAAGCAAGCTAATGGTTTATGAACCAACACTTTACGTCCAAGTCTCAATATTACGCCTCACATTGAGCAAGTGAAGATCAGAATAAATACTGGGGAAAATGTAAGTTTTGGTGGTGATAATAAGGTTTCAATGTATGAGCACTTGAGACCTGCTGCTCTAATAAATCTGGTGGATGAATGTTGTCGCTTTAATCATGCAATCTTCAAAATTGTCTTCTCAAGAATGAAATAGAAGAGAGTTCACATGCTTAACAGCAATGAAATTTGTATACATACATTGAAGAAACTTTTAAGTGGTTAAAAGATACAACAAGAGAAAATGAATGAAATCAATCATCCAAGCAGTAAGGAACAAAAATCACATCAAATATAACAAGAAAAAAAGAAGGAATAAAACACTCATACCTCAACATCCAGCAATAAGTTCTCCGGCTTGATATCCCTGTGGATTACATGTTTTTGATGGCAGTAGGCTAGAGCCCCGGCTAAGCTTGAAACATACTGTCAAGTACCAATAAAAAAACATATATATTCAAGAAAATGAACAAAAGTTTCAAATTTTCCTTGTAAACGGCCTGCAATCAAAACATTGTTTTCCAAATCCCTAATCATTATCAAATAATTCTTCAACAATAATAAATTGAGATACTGAAGGACAGATTATTTATTTTATCAAAAAAATGAAAGAGAAATTATTATAAAAAGGCATGTTTTTAAGGTTACCCAAATGTAACCCTATGTAATTCTTTCATTAAATCTAGTAATAAAAATATGCTTATCAATACTTGAAAGTGAATATAGAATCACATTTTAAAAATACAATTCAAATGGAAATTTTCTTCTTTATCAAAATAACAAAAAAAAAAGTTCACCTACTAGCCATCCAAAAACTTCAATTTCTGGCCAAGATCTAATCTTGAACATCCAATTTTGGTACGTTCCTCCACTCTAATAAAAAAAAACCTCTCGATGCAGTTAAAATTACCGTGGCAGCTCGCTTCTCTGAGAAATGATGCAAATCCTTAAGAAACTTGTAAAGCTCTCCTCTCGCAGCGTACTCAAGAACCAAGAAGATTCTAGAATCGTCATGAAACCAAGCAAAGAGACGAAGGACATTAGGATGATTAAGCCCGTGCTGGATCTCGATCTCGCGACGAAGATGAGCATGGAATCGATACTTCTCGAGCTTCTCCTTGAAAATTACCTTGAGTGCCACTACGTAACCGCTCTGATTCAATATCAAAATTAGGGTTTTTGAAGAATTTGTGGAGGGAGAAAAGAGAGGAGAAGAGGTAAAGGTACCTGCTTTTCTCGGGCGAGATAGACTTTGCCGAATTTTCCTTCGCCGATGAACTTTCCGATCTCGAAGTCCTCGAGGCTCCATTCGTCTTTCTTCATTTTGGGGGTTAGGGTTTGGCATTTGGGCGCGGGTTTTTGGGGATTCGAAATTGGGGAGAGGCAGTGGTATGATGACCGCTGGTAAAGTTACCACAAACTGATTTTCCCCTTTTGGAATAAGGACCTGTTTGGTTCAATAGAGAGTAGGAATATGATTAGGAATCCTATTTTATTTATGGATTCTAACCTAATCCATAAAAAAATTTATGGACAAGTTTTAGTTTTATGGAGTCCCATTTTTTTTGTATTCTATGTTTGTTTCACCCAAGGATTAGGAATAGGATTAGGAATTAGAATAAAAAAAAGGAGAGGTGTCAGAAATTCCACTCAATTCCTAGCAAATGGAGTGGATTTGGATTTCTTGAAATATACACTGTTTGAGCCACTTTATAGATTAGCAATTCTATAATTTTTTTTTTGAACCAAACTCAGGATTAGGATTCATTTGGAATCCATTAATTACGAAAACGCCATTGTCAAGTCCAAATACCATTCCTATTCCAAAAAAATGGTGAAACAAACAGGCCCTAAAAGTAAGAGGTTTGTTGCTATGCTCCGAAAATAAATTTTATTTATTAATCATATCATATCATATCATATCATACTCCCTTTAAAAACATGAGTTTGGAAAAAGCTTTCTATAGACAAATATATCCCTATATAGTTTGAACTATCCTATCTATATTCAAATTCTAATTACAACAGAACTTAGCATATGTATTTTAAAACCGAATAAATTTTAATGATAATTATAACAGATTATTATAATTATCATAACTATCAGAACTTAGCATTATCTCTAAATCAAACCCGTAATAACAGATTATATCTTAATTGCTTAGTCGTGATCTAAATCAACCCCGTAATAACATATTATTATTATAACTATCATAACTAATTATCATAACAGATTACTATTATAACAAATTATTAGTCGTGAAACTTTTGTCTATTTTGGCGAAACCCTGAAACTTTCTAAAATTAAATGAAACATCTATAATACTTGAACTTAAAGTTATTGTGAAGGTTTTTTTTTAATCAAATTGCAGTGGATAGGAGGTTTGGTACAACTATGGGTGATGCTGCTTCTACGGCCATTATTCTGATGTAATTTTGTTACTTTCGAGTATTTTTTTGGAGCGTGTAACTAATTTAGATTATCAGAACTATTTAGATTAACAGATTATCAGAACTATTATTAATTAAATATTCTAATTATGATCAAATCCTAATAAAACTCTAATTATAACTATTATCCTACCACGTGTAATACCTCATGCCTATATATAAACTAAGAAATTACACAATTTTCATAGTAACTCTCCATCTCCTTCAACATGTATGGTTTTTTATTTTCATGATTATTCTTTAAATATATTGTGTATTTAATTTAATGGTGATATTTGTTTTACGCTGCAATTAATTTTTATGAAGATTGATATTTTTTCAAAATTATTCAATTTTCATGCAGAATTTAGAGAAATAAAGATTTGATTGTTGCAGGTTCTCACATATATCAAGGTAAATCTTAATGTTTGATATTATTTTAATTTAGATTTATTTAATTATATTTATTTCTTCTTCTTCTTTGCATGCTTTTAATTAGTTGATTGTTGTTTTTTCTTTGAATTGATGTGATTTGGTAGGTACAGAAATTGATTTAGTTGAGCTTGATACACGATGGTCTGCAACTAATTAAATTGCTCCCTGAATTTTAAGGTTTTGTTTAAAAACCCTTAAATTAGAAAGAACCACACATGATTTTCAAATTACACAAAACCTCCTGAATTATTGAAATTTTTCATAAACATATTAGTGTAGAGGGTAAAGTTCTTAGCTCTAAGCTATCCTCGGACCTCATTAATGTTTTTTCTCCAACAAATGTTCCACGTTCCTCAATCTTTGCTATTTAACCTTCCAAAGCTCTAATTTTTCTTAATGAATCATCTCAAATTCTGGTGTATTTGAATTTTCATATTATTTTTGACCGATATGAAACTAAGCTTTATTTGAGAAAGTATAGCATTGCAAAGTGAAAAATATTAAAATAGTGTTATACAAGGAAGGTGAATATTTAAAACCAATATGGCAAAATGATTGATTTAAAGTATGTTAAAACGATGCAAAAGAGAATATGAAGTTTATTCCTAATCATTGATAGACTTCATAAAAAAATATAAATTAAAGATTAATGCTAACTCTAGTATACTTTTATATGATAAAAACATCCACATAAGAATATAAAAGTACTGAAAAAAATTCATGAAACTCCCTTCTAAAGATTCCTAATTTCACTCAAAATAATTAAACTATTCTATAAAATATTCATAAAATATTGTTTTTATTTCTTCTATTTTATTTTTTATTGAGTTAAGATCAATCCTTCTTCAGGTTTATCATTTATCATTTCTCGGACAATTCTAGAGTATTGTCTTCATCATCTACATCAATTGTGACATCAGGCTAATTTTGTATTTTTTATGCTATTATCTTTCCTGGGCTCGTTAATTTTTTATCATCTCATTTAACTTTACAAAGAAGTCAAATGTACTTATGATGTTCAACACAAACTGCTCAAAAATAGACTTTGATTTTTTATCTATTTCAATGAGAATAAATATTAATTTCATATATATAAAATTCTTTGTGTTTCTAATTTATTACTTAAATAAATTAGAAGCTATCTCTTTATTTTCCTCTAAAATGAATTCTTCTGATGTGCATCCAATAAGAATTTCTGTTATTTTAACAATATTACATTTGCTCTATCCCTGTCATTTTCCATAAAGATCTAAACTAAATATCTGCATTATTCATTACCAATTTCTCTTAGATTATAATATTAATATTTAATTTGAAGAACACGGTATGGAATTTATAAATACTTACTAATTTTTCTTATGTCTTCCATGGAGATTTTTTTTTTGATTAGGATAAAGTTATTAAATTATTTTTTAATGTAACTCATTCAGTGCTTCATTAATAGATATGTCTTATGTTAATGCCAATTCAAGTGATTCATTGACGTTTTCTGAATTTTAGATTTATTTCCATCACTTTCCCATTTGCAATGGAAATAACTCAATTCTTTTAAAGTTATCTCTAAATATTCTAATAGTTTCTCCATATGTAATTCCTTGTATTCTTTTACCCTATAAATATTATTAACATCAAATATTAAAGTTTCTAAATTAAAATTAATTAATGCTAAGGTATAATATTATAGTGTTTTATCATTTCTATAGATTTAAACATCTATCAATTAATGTTACGAATGTATTTTGGCTACCCCAACTTATTACTAAAATTATATGAAATTACTTTAATTTATATAGTGTCGATAATTTTTAATCTATAATATTTTTAAAAAAGTTATCCATCAACCGGATGTTTTTAATCAATTCTTATTGTTTTTGTTTACCAGTATCAACTTAGACTATTCTTAGATGCTGAAAATGGATAGTAAATCCCTAAATTAGAAATTTTAATATATATATATATATATTGCCAAGTTTTAAAATTTTAGCCCATTTTTGTGGTTTTGAACTTTGAGGGTGTGATTTATAATTTTTAAAATTTTGAAAGAGTTTTTAAAAAAATTTACTTTTAAGTTTGGTAGTTGTAAATTCTATGTTTCATGTGTTGGTGGTAATTTTTTAAATGTTAGTATATTTCTTGTAACTCTAAAATTTTGAGGGTGTCTTTTGCAATTATTAAAACTATAGATTAATTTTAAAAAATATTAAATTTCAGCGGTCTACCAATCGACGAATTTGATGTGTGCTAGTTAAAAATTTTGAAAATTTAGAGTTTTTTTACGATTTTTAAATTTTGAAGGAATTTTTTAAAAATTTTGAGGTTAATTTTGACAAATTTTAATTTTTTAGGTGTCTAAGGGTAATATCTTGAATTCATCTTATTTTATTTACAAATTTTAGAATTTTAGGGTGGCTTTTTATAATTTAAACTTTTGAAGGTGTTTCTATAATTTTTGAGATATTGAGGGTGTTAATTAAAAAATTTAAATTTAAATGTCAAAAATTTTAGGTGTATCATGGTAATCTCTTGAATTCATCTGTGTTGTTTGTAAGTTTTAAAATTTTAGAATTTTAATGTGCTTGTCTGTAATTTAAACTTTTGAGGGTGTTTCTATAATTTTTGAGACATTGAGGTGTTAACTGTAAATTTTAAATTCTTTGCAAACTGATGTTAATTTTTTAATTTCATGTTTTTTATTTTAAGTTTTGAAACATTGGGATGATTTTTATAATTTTAAACTTTTTAGGGTCTTTTCTGTAATTTTAAAACTTTTTATGGTTTTTTACAATACTTCATGTATTATAATATGTTATCTACTTGTAATTTCTTTATCTTAACAAACTAATATCATTTTTATGTTTTATATATTTTATTAATATTAGTTTTTTTAAATTGTTAAGCTAAACATGGTTCACATAGGATTAGGATAAGATATGATTATGATTAGGATAGATTAAGATATAAATAAAATATTCAAAATAGTGAAGGGTAATATTGACCATTGAAAATTAGAATTTGATTATAGATAAGGTAGTTCAAACTATAAAGGGGTATATTTGTCTAAAAAAGATTTTCCGAACTCGTGCTTTTAAAGGGAGTATGACTAGTAACGTTAAAGATTAAAGTTTCTAAATTAAAGTCAATTAATGCTAAGGTATAATATTATAGTGTTTTATCATTTCTATGTATTTAAACATCTATCAATTAATGTTACGAATGTATTTTGGCTACCCCAACTTATTACTAAAATTATATGAAATTACTTTAATTTATATAGTGTCGATAATTTTTAATCTATAATATTTTTAAAATTTTATCCATTAACCGGATGTTTTTAATCAATTCTTATTGTTTTTGTTTACCAGTATCAACTTAGACTATTCTTAGATGCTGAAAATGGATAGTAAATATATATATATATATATATATAATATATATATATGAAAAATACCAAACAATTATACTTTTCTTTGCCAAGTTTTAAAATTTTAGCTCATTTTTGTGGTTTTGAACTTTGAGGGTGTGATTTGTA